ATTTTTTTTTAAATTATAGGTTTTACTACGAGTCTTACCTTATTTAAGGATTTTATATTAATTAAGATTTGAAGTGAATAATAATTTATATACACTATTTTCTTTTAATCTACAAAATACTTTTTAAAAATAAAATTGTCACAGATGATAATTTCAAAACAGATAAAATCACGGATACTAGAATTTATTCTAACGATATTATTATAATTTACATGAGTTCAAAACACTTTCATTGGTAAACGTTCATGAATTTCAGTATCGTTTAAAATACTCTTATTCTTAAAAGCTTATAAATTTCATATCACTTAAAAGTCGAAGTTAAAGGGTAATTTATATGTATCATTCTCCCTTAATCTATCAAGACATTTTTTTTAAGAACAAAATTATGATGACAAGAATTATAAAATAGACAATACCTGAGACATGATAATTGATTAGAAAAAAAATCAAAATTTGTAAATTAGTTTACATAGTAATTTTTTCAATTAATAGTTAATTATGCATATAAGAATTTCTTATTATGATATTCATTTATATCTTTAAACAAATTCTTTTATATATATATATATATATATATATATATATATATTCCATAACTTTTCACTTGTGATATATAAGAAAATTATGAAAATAAAAAATAAAAATTTCAATTTGATTGAAAAAGAATAAATTGAATAAAATATGATGTCATCGTAAGGCACACTAGGACACTTTTATTCTTAAACCAAATATTATATAAATTTAAAAAAGTTAACTTTAAATTAAAAAAATAAATAAAAATAACCCAAATATAAGAGATAAAACATATTTGAGGATGATTGTGTTTCTTAACTTTTTGTGTAAGTTTATAAAGAAAACCTTTACTCATACTTTATGTGATAAAACGTGAACTAGGATTTATATTTACAATAATTTACAAAAAGGCATGAGGTATACATTCAACCATTCATATAATATTATTTTAGATAGAATATCTTTCTCATACAATCATTATTAGAAGTTATGTTTCACATAATTATTTTTTTCTAGTCTTCATACATCATAATTTAGTCAGTTAATGCTTTATTTATTATTGTTAAAAACATCTTTAGTTTAAGTTACATGGAATGATAAATTATAAATTATCAAAATGTTAACAAACTACATCATATGTATCCAGATAAATTTTGTTTATAAAAAACACAAGAATTTTTTAATAATAATATGTTATGACAAACATATTTTACCCTATTTTTTCTTTATATTTATCTATCATATAATTTATTATATCTTAAATTCTGCTTAATTTTTTTTCTATCTTTCACTCTTCCAAAATGTACAAATTGTTATCCAAACAACATTTACCAATTATAATTAGTTGAGTTCTCCAATTTACTTTTTCATCATTCAGATTGTAGAATATATAACTTTATGTCCTTTCTTTCATTTATTTTTATTTTTAATAATTTTACTTAATATTTTTCCTTGTATCTTAATAATGATTATGTAATTTTGCGTGAAAATTATGCATGTTATAAAATCAAGTGAGAAAGAAAAAACCAGATAATAAAAATAAAAGTAAACAATGTTTCTACCTTATACTGATAACACTCAAAATTATATAAATAAACAATAAACAAAAATGAAAAGTTGAAAAAAATACTATATCTAATTTTTATGTTAATAAATTATCTGAACAATGACTTGGGCCCCTTCAATTAATATTCTACCATTGGGGCCTTCGCATAAATTCAAAGGATGGGGATTTTAGATAAGGCCCATTATGGAGAGACTGTACTTACCGGAATAAAACTGAAAGAGTAATAATCTATATTTATATATAAAGAATATTATTTTTTTTGTTTCATGTTATCAGAAAGAAAAATTAAAAGTGGTATAATTTAGGGTTTTTTTTTCATACGCAGGAACAAGAGTGTTGGGGTTTAATACATACTATAATACCATCATTAAAATTAATTCATATTTTAAGGTATTTTCTGTTCTGGAATCTTATTATTAAAAAATATCGATAGATTAACAAATATATATATATATATATATATATATATATATATATATATATTATAAATCTAGACGAACAGTAATATTGGATTCAAGAATATATCCAGATAGATTCCATTTATTTGTGGTAAAAGGTGACCAACAGATGAAAATAAATGAAAAATAACAAGTTCGATAAAAAAAGAATGAGAAAGAAAAAAAATCGTTTTTCATTATAATAAATATATTTACAAACATTATTTTATACAATTATCCTCTTATGAAAAATATTCTAATAATTAAAAATAATGTATAGGTAATTTTGAAATTATATAAATATTAAATTTTAATTAAATAATAATTTTTATTTAATTTTAGATCACTTTTTTCCTTCAATATTTTTTTTCTCATACATTCCTTTTTTTATATTTTCTTTTGAGTTAAACAAAAATAATTATTATAATTTATATATTTGAAAAATAATTTGTTAATGTTATTACTTAATAAGTCTACAATAATTAATAAATTTTAATTTGAAAATGATATACCTGTATGAATCTGTCCAAAATCATATCACTTTTTTTATTTACATATTTTCAAAAGAAAATATAATAATAAAAACTATTATTTGTATGTTATATCTTTTCTTTATCATTTTTTATTTTGTGAATAATAGACTTGCTTTGAAATTACATAAAATCAAAGTAATTGACTCCATGTTAATTAAGAAAGTGAATTAACATCACTTACTTTTACCAATTTCAATCTAAAAATATTTTATTTGTAAAAACGTCTCTCATTAAAAATATTTAAAATCATTCATTAAAAATAAAAATACATTTAAACTAGAAGTGTTTTATGAATGGCATAATTAAGTATGGAAAATTAGTGAACTTTTTTTATATATTTAAGCACCATATAAATTCATATTTCTTACATTTAAATTTCGAATAATATTAAATAAAAATTAAATAAACGTTGAACCCAATTTAAGAAAAAAAAAAAAAACTGATGACGTTTCTCAGAAAAAGGGTGAAAAAGAGAGAAACAGTTATGAGACTTGTTTGGATGCTCTCAATATCTGTGAATGGAGTGTGTGTAAATGTGAGTGTGCATGGGACCCGTGTGTAATCAGAAGAGAGAGAAAATAAATAAATAAATAATTAAAAAAAAAGTTAGAAGACTTCAACATCACGACACTGTGACATGGTAAAAGACAGCTAGCAATGAACGCGGAGCATCACCTAACGTTGTTTGTTGCCCATTCCATTTTCTTTTTTCTTATTATTATTTTTTTTTTTCAGTTCCTTAATTCTCGTCACTCTTTTAAACCTTCTTCACTTACCTCTCTCTCCTTTCAAAACCTTCTTTTCTCTCTCTTCTCTCTCTAGTGTAGTGCTCCTTGCAATGGAGATAAGTTTCTAACGTTGTTTTTTGGATCTTTTGTTGTCTGAGACATTATTCTTCTATTCTCTTCAGGTTTGTCTCTGCTCATCTTATTTGGTTTAGTTTGTTACCCATTTTGCTAAAATGGGTATGAAAAATGGCGAGGGTTATCTATTTTATTTTTAAATTAATCATAATGATTTTTTTTTGTTTTGTAATTATATTTTTATATATTTTATTCTGCATGAGATGAAACCATCATCTTAAATTATGTATTTAGCATTTGTACTTGCAATAACTTTCCATTTTGGTGTTTATAATTTAAAATATTTTACTTTGACAATTATTATCATTTTTATAGCCTTTTTTTTTGTCTTTATTGAGAAATTTGACAGACAAAATTTGAGACAACTTTGAGATGTCTTTACACTGTAAAAATGACAATTATATAGATAAATGAGAGGTCTTAGATTATTGAAAATAAAGTAAAATTTATTACAATTATTAAGAGTAAATTAAAAATATTATATATATATATATATATATATTAAATGAAAATGTGCACTGAGTTAATTTTATGGTGTGTTTTCTGATTTTTTTTTTCTTGTTCAGGTTTGGATTTTGAAATTATTTATCCATTGTTGAGAACTTTACTCTCTACCCCAATTAAGATAATGTGTGTTCTGCTTCAATTTTTATGAAAAGTGAAGGTTGATGAAAATTCAAGTTTAATACTTCAAGACGGTAAAAAACAAATTTGGAACCAACTAATGTTTTCATGTGTCAAATGTTTGTTGAAATGACACATTTTCAAAACTATTTTCAATTGTAATTTTTCATCTTAGATTTTTTTAATTTTATTTCAAAGAAAGAAAGAGAACGATGTATTGAAAATAATAAGAAAAAAACCTTACTAATGTATTTAAATTGTTCTGAATTTTGATAAAATATTAAAATAATTTGTATGAATCTTCGGAATTTCAGAGGCATGTCGATCTCATTTCTCAAATAACAGACAAAAAAAACATGTTATATTTAAAAATGAGTTATAAGTAACATTTTTTTGAAGTTTGTTTATCAATTAAACTGAAATTTTTTTCTGCAGGAGAATATAAAATTCCTTACTCGGTAAATAAATTGTTTATATTTCAAGGATAAATAATTTTTTTCTTTAAATAATTTACATATTTATTTTTTAATAATACAAAATTATTATTACAATAATCTCATTTTTCTTATAATAATTATTTTCTTAGTCTTTCTTGAATGATAAATATTGAATGTGTTTTATATTTTTAAGATATTCATATATTATTTTAACTATTTCTTTTTTTAGACACTTACACCATTATTTTTATCTATTTTAATATATTTATTATAATTTTATCTATTTAATTCCTCTTTAACCATTGTCATAATATTTTTACAGTGAACACTTGCTTCTTCTTTTTTTTAATGGGTCCCTCGTACTCATTACTTATGATAATTCATTTGGAAATTCATTCACACTCATTCTTCAAACATACAACAACTAAGAAAACACTGCTATACCTTTTATTTTTCTCTACCTCTATCTTTCATTTTCCCACTCTCATTTCTTGTTTCCTCAGAGGAAAAAAAAAATCAGAAATTTCATGGAGGACATTGATTGTAGCAGCTTCTTCGACCACATCGACGACCTCCTCGAATTCCCCGAAGAAATGATGACTGCCGACACCACCATTACAGCGCCGGTTGCTGCTCCTCCAACGAGCTTCTGGTCCACCCAGTCCCACTCGCTCCCCACCACCAACATGGTTTTCTCCGACAACGCACCGGATCTATCAGCAGAGTTCTCTGTTCCGGTGAGATTTCAAATTCTTCTGACATCTCATTCATCCACTTGTGCACTGACAACGCGGTCACTTGGATTACCTGAACCGGTTGCGTGTAGTTTTATCATCGCTCCTGGTTTTGGTAATGTTTTTATTACATGTCTCTTACTTTGCACAATGAGTTGCATGTTTGGTTCTACTAGCTGTGGCTCTGTGCTTAGTTCACTTCTTTTGTTCAACAGTGTTCAACTTTATTTTTTTCTTTTGAATAGTCCAAACTTATCTTTAACAGCTATTTAGAATTTTTAATCATAGAGTTTTAAACGTTTCAGTCAAGGATACTCCAATTTTTAAATAGTTTTATTTTTTAAATATCATTAATTAACTTTTTTTCTTCAAAATTTAATTAATGTGTAATTGTTAATTGTAATTGTTACGGGGTGTTAGTATTTTGAAACAATGTTTAATAAACTTATTTCATCTTTAAAATTTTAATAAGTTTTTACAAGTTATTTCACTGTAAAATTCATGACTTTTTATTGTAATTAATGTGTCATTTTAACATTTTGATTACTTTTACTACCAGTTGAAACATATTAAATATTAAATTAATATTAAATATTAAATTAATATTAAATATTAAATTAATATTAAATATTAAATTAATGAATTAATGACACGAAAGCGGTTAAATATGTTTAATACTTATTGAAGTACGAAGAAGTTGGTAGATAAGTGGATAAATTTATTATATCACAGTTTATATAATTAATAGAAAACATTTACCCCTAAATTATTATTTTCTTTTTACACGAATATATTCCCTCAAAACCGATAATAAAACTTGTCTCTTAATTTTTTTCTTTTAAATATTTAGATTGCACAGTCGCAACTTGCACAATATTCTCAGAAAGTTTTGTTCTTTAATGCCGAAAAATCTAAATAATTTTGGGTTTGGAAGGTTGTATTTACAGACCAGTGCAAATTTCCAAATATTCCTAGACAAGGGTAATTTGGTCATTTTCTGGGACACTTGATTGTGTCGGTGAGAGACAAGAAGCACATCCTCCACTTCAACGGTGGGGTTGAGGTGCCTAAATTATTATGAATATCGTTATTAAAGGTCATGTGCCTTGGCATGTGATGCCATAATGATCATTTACAAATGTGGTCATTCTAGGTAATAGCAGTTCATGCCTCACGAGGAAATGTGGTTTCATCAAAATTTGTTAACTGCATCAAAAGAGTATGAATAATTAGTTAAAGAATTAGATGTAAAATATTTTATTTATTAATTATTTAATTAATGTCAAAATAAAAAGTTATTTTATAAACCTGTTAATGGTTTAAGATATTGGTAGAGGAATGAATAAACAAAGAAAAATTATTTATTAAAAATTACTTGATAAATATGATTTTTGTTCTTTAATAGTTCAAGTTTTGTCATATAGATTGAAATTAACAATCAAAATATACGACTTTTATGCTAAAATAATCTATTTTTTTAATAAATTATTATTTTTATTAAAACAAATGACTAATTAATTTAGAAACAAATTAGGAATTAAGAAACTAATATTACATTAAAAAGAGAATATTAGTGAATTTAAAATTTAAAAGGATAAAGTTATAGGCATTTTAGAAAAGTACTGTATTTATAATATTTGTTTATAAAAGAATCATTCTTTATTTTGTTTAACTAAGCTTTAAAGTACTTTCTTTTATGTTTGATTTCTTAACTAAGCCATCCATTACAAGAACTTGATCAATGGGGTTTCTTTAAATTCTCTATCTCCTCCTAATTGTCAATATTCAGTCATAATTAATTGATACGATTTCGTATTTTTTTTTAAATATATATGATAAGAGTTGCTTTTAAAAAGTGATTATAAATAAAAAAATTATTATGAATTATTTATTGGTCAAATTATATTCTTGAACCATTCTTGTTGCTTTCAAGGTTGAGAACAGATTTCAAGGTTGAGAACAAAATCCAAAAGGAGTGAGATTAGGGAATTAATTAAACGCTTTATATGTATTTAATTAAACAGATTAATTTCTATAGAAATTTGTTATATGAATTTATTTGAATAAATTTATAATAAAACTATAATTGAAATATGATAGAGATATAAGAATTTACAGTTATTTATCATCAAATAAGTAAATTTAATAGACATATGAGAAATCATGTTATTGGTTGGGGAAGTTAAACACTAACTATGTTTCACATTGTCCTTATTCCAGTATGAAGACATTGTACAATTGGAATGGCTGTCAAATTTTGTTGAAGACTCTTTCTCTGATGGAACTCTCACCATGCAGCAAGAGGGGTCACAATGCACCACCAAGGAGGAAATAACTCATGCTCAATTTCAGACAGCAAGCCCAGTCTCAGTCCTTGAAAGCAGCAGTTTCTGCTCCAAGGAAAAGGCTGCACCTCGTACCCCCGAGATTTACATTCCTGTGCCGTGTGGGCGAGCGCGCAGCAAGCGTGCTCGCCCTGCTGCCTTCAATCCCCATCCAGTGATGCAGCTCATCTCCCCGGCATCCTCCACCGGCGAGAACACGCATCACAATGCCACCTCCTCCAAGACCCCAGACTCTGAGAATTTCGCTGAGTCCATGATCAAGAAGCCCAAGCAGGCTTCTAGTGAGCACAAGAAGAAAAGGAAGATCAAGGTGACTTTCTCAGCAGGTCAAGATCACAATGCTGCACCATCACAGGCACTGAGGAAATGTTTGCACTGTGAGATAACCAAGACACCACAGTGGAGGGCAGGGCCAATGGGGCCAAAAACACTCTGCAATGCTTGTGGCGTGCGCTACAAGTCGGGGCGGCTCTTCCCGGAATACCGGCCGGCCGCCAGTCCAACGTTCTGTGCAGCCTTGCACTCTAACTCCCACAAGAAGGTCCTTGAAATGAGAAACATGACAGGCACCAAATCTGATTTTGCAGCAGATTCAGCTGCCTCACCAGAACTTATTCCAAACACTAACAGCAGTCTTTCCCTGGAATACATGTGAACGGAATGATCCTAGTTGGAGCTTCTCTGCTTCTCTTTCAATTCCTCCCGAGTCATGTCTTATACATGATTTTGATGTGCATTCAGCAAACTGCAATAGTAAGGTTTTAGAGGTATCTGCAACTGCGTTGTGGTTGTAGTTGTGACTGCATTAGCCATATTTGTCCACAATTTTGATGCAAGGCAACCTCAATTTTAAACCTTAGTCTTGTGTTGTTTCTTAATTTTCATTTATTTTCTCAATGGGCTTTGTACAGGGCTGGAATTAGGTGATAGGAGCATAGAATATGATCAGAAGTTAGCTATATTTAGAGGAGAGTTGTAATGAGGACCGAGGAACAATGGATAGAGATGCAATTCAATGAGAGTAGAGTCAGAGTGTTAGCCATTTAGATTTTAGTAATGTAGCAGTACTCAAGCAGGGTCATACTACTGGTTGGTACTTTTCTTACTTTCATCATTTTTCATTTATTTATGCTTCTAAATATCTTTCTCTAGAGCTATTCTTTTTGCAGTTCATTAGCTAAACTTATGAGTTGATTCAGGAAAGCAACTTCTGAAATTTTCCTTATTTTTAATGTTTGTGCTGGGAATATCCCTTCCCAATATCTGCAATATGTTTTTGAACAATACCTGAAGATGCAGTTTGTTTGAAGTACAAGAATATTCATGTTGATCTATTCCAACTTTAGTATTTTATTCTCCCCAAGTTGTTCTATTGCAATATTTTTCTTCTGAGCAAACCCTGCATTGACCAATGGTTGCATTGCAAGTAGTTTCTCTTTGTTGAACTGTTGCACAAATAAATTACTCTTTAACAGAAATTTAACTCTCTGCAAATTAGTGTCATCAATTTCACAGTGACTCTTGCCAAAATATAAAATATCAGGTATATTACTGTACAAATTAACTCTCAAGGAATAATATACATGACAATAGAGTAAACTTTCACCTTAGTCCCTAAAATAGTAAATGTATTTACCCCAGTCTTTTATTTTACAAAATTTTCATTTTAATTACAAAATTTGTAAAATCATATTCTTAGTAGTCTTTAATAGAGTAAAAGAATGTAATAGAAGGAAATCCAAGAACAGTTGGCTTTTGAGGTGTTATTCTCAACTCATTGCAAGGGAAGTGTTATTTCTTAGTTTTCTGGTTCTTGTGGTGTCATCACAAGTCTAAAATCTGAAATAGTTTGCCAAATGCATGAGAAAAGAGGATTCATATTTGTCAATTGTGAATCAAATTATGTTTCATGTAAGGAGATTAATTTGTTTCATCCTTTTTTATTATTATGTTAATTCGTAGTCTTATTTCTAGAAACTGAAATATAACTTTTCTGTCATGTCCTCTAGGAAAAAAAAAAAAAATCCTGATGGAAACTATTTGTGGAGATACTTTTCTCGCTTGATCGTCGTGTTTCACTCCATTATATAAGAATATAAGATCCTTATTATAACTAGATCTTTTAGGGATGAATATAAGAATTCAATCACTATAATGCTTAAAAGGGTTGCTAGTTTAGGGCAAAAGTTAAGAAATCACTCATTACATAGGATATGAGGTTAATGAAAAGCAGAGAATAGCAAAACTCAGAACCAAAAAAGTAATTATCATCCATGATGCAAATTAACAAGCCACAAAACCCACCAAGAAAAAGGAAAGTGAAAGAGAAATGGTGGGAGAAGAAATGATGATGAGGATTGATAAAAGATGCATCCATGCCTTGAAAGGTAAGACTAATGCTCCTATATTGATCCAATTATGACATAGGTAGACTCTTTGTGAGGATTTGGCAACATGTCATGATCTCATGCAACTTTGCAACCGACAATTGAATTAAATGAGAGTAATTTGCTGATAAATTCAATCGATTGCATCAATCATTTCATGGGAATTATTCTTTAAAAAATGTCACACACATTACCCTTGCTTTAAGTTGTGCCTGATCATAACAACTTGATGTAGACTCGTTAAGGATCCATTCCTCTCCCCCTCCAACATCATTTGTATTTTTGTGAATCTAGTTACTCTCTGCTATTGTTGTATGCATGCAAAGAATTAGGTCAAATTCATCACCAACCTTTTATACCTAATGTTACTGTCACTATTTCAATGCAATTTCTTCTTTCAAGCAATGTATCTCTATCAAGGTAGGGTTCATGTGAAAGTAGTGCACGCAACTTCTTCTGCCTCTAAAGGAAAAATGACATAAACAATGACTTGGATAACCATAACCATAATTTTCATTGAACTACAAATTTTCATATTAATAATATATCTGAATGTAGAACGATTAACCACTTAATCAACTCATTATATTATGATAAAGTTTGAAATATGTCTACTTGAAACCGAATATTAATATTATTGACAATTTTATTTGTTAGAATGACAACAATTTTTTTTTTGTTTTCTAAAAATTAATTGTAAATATTATTATGGATTGACTAAAACTTTATGGTGTGTGAAGACTGAATTAGCACTATGAAAACAATTTATTTTTTTTATATTTTTTCCTTATTATTTGGTAATAAATTTAAATTTTAAATGGCTCATTATATAAAAAAATCACTTAAGTTTTTTGGAGTGAGAGTGAGCAAAACCAATCAAACCATACCTTTGGTTATTTTCTCATTTAAATTTTAATTATAATAACATCAAATGGTCTTTTTATTATTTTTAAAATGTAAATATTTTTTTTACTAAATCTTTAAATGATAATAGATTTATTTGAAATGAAAAGTAATTATTAAAAATTGAAGGTACATTCAAGAATTTTATTTTAATTTTTTAAAATTTAAGGATAATATAAAAACTTTTAGAGGACTAAATTGCTCATTTTATTATAAATTATTTTGTTTTAAAAGCTCATCAGTTAACTAATATATAAGTTTTATCCAAACAATTATGAATTTCAAGATTTGTGACACTTTTTCTCTCATATAAAATATTATTTATTTAAATAAACATTTTATTTTTGTGATTTTAAGTATTTATCGTAGTTAAAAGTTCTCAATTTATCTTGGATAATTTTTGTCTTTTCATGCAAAAATATTAAAATAATTCAAATTAATGTTCAAATATTATAAGTCGTATGGAAAATACGTTGTGTATTTCTTATTTTAGAAAAGATACAGAGGTATAAATAGAATAGAAGGTAATAAACCTATACACTCGATTTATCCCTAAAAATTAGAGAAAATTTCTCCCTATTGTACATAAATGTACATAGATAGCGAAATAAAACTGATTATATTATCATTAAATCATATTATAATTGAATTATTCTAATTGATAGTGTTGATCTCCAACACTCCTTTCAATATGGGTGGTGGATATCTATCATATCCAGATTGGATCTAAAGTTTTTATATGTGTAGAAGAGTCTTTGTTAGAATATCTGTTGTTTGTCTGCATGATGGAACATGGTCAACACTTATAATACCATGATCAAATTTTTTTTAATGAAGTGTCGTTCAATTTCCACATGCTTTGTCTTATCATGGTGAACTGGGTTGATGGAACATGGCAACACTTATAATACCATGATCAAATTTTTCTTTAATGAAGTGTTGGTCAATTCCACATGCTTTGTCCTATCATGGTAGACTGGGTTCTTTGCTATGCTTATAACAACTTTGTTGTCACACATTATCCATAGGAATTTTGATTTCATCTAACATCCTCTTAAGCCAGATTCCTTCACAAACACCTTAAGCCATAGCTCTGAATTCAACTCCTGCACTACTCCTTGCCACCATAGGTTGCTTCTTGCTTCTCCATGTCATGAAGTTTCCCCACTCAAAGGAATAGTAGCTTGAAGTTGATTTTCTATCAAATGGACATCCTACCCATTCTGAATTAGTATAGACTTTAATACCTATGTTTGAGTTCTTCTTAAAGTAGAGTCCTCGGTCTGGTGTACCTTTGAGGTATTGGAGTATTCTATTTGTCATGTTCATGTTGGACTCAATTGGATTAGATGCATAGGGACTAGTCAGGCTGACAACAAACCCAATGTCGGGTCTGGTGTGAGTTAGGTAGATTAGCTTCTCAAATAGTATTTCATGTCTATCTTTATCAGCTGGTGGACTTTCCTCTTCACCTCTCTTTTCCGGTTCTATGGGAGTATTGGCTGCCTTGCACCCAAGCATGCCAGTTTCTTGAAGTAAATCCAGTGTATATTTCCTTCGTGATACATAAATATCATCCTTTGTTTGAGCAACTTCCATTCCTAGAAAGTATTTGAGCAACTTCCTTGGTTAAAAGTCCATTCAAATTCTTGATTTGATCTCCTGTGATAACGATATCATCAACATAAACAATGAACATGGCTACCTTCCCTTTTGCAGAGATTTTGAAAAACATCGTGATGTAAAATAAAGTAAGGTGCAAAATTTTAAGAAGATAAGTTGCAAAATTTTAAGCAATAAAGTAAGCAAACCCAAGGAAAATTTCCACTAGACATTAAGATAGTTGCCTATCTAGATGTGAAGGTTCATTTCCAAGGATTATGGAGGGAGGAATAGATGAAATGAAACTAGAAAAGAACAAAGACAAGGGTTGGAAAAATGGACCAGCCCCTTGGATAAATAGATGAAGTGAAGAAATAAAGAAGAAAAGATGAAGAGAAGAGAAATATGGTGGTGGAGTGTTGGCACGCCACTAGGGGATGAGCCACCCTAGATAAGTGGTGGTTGCCGCCACTTGAACCAAGGTTCAAGATAAGACACTCAAAGAGATGAAACACTCTAAGAAATCTCACAAACTTATCATAAATGTTCAACCTCATTACATGAGGGGAAGTCTTCTATTTATAGGCTTTTGGGGGAGGGTGATCCATGTCGTACTTGGTCAAATAATTAAAATAGATAAATGTAGTACTAGGAAGCTTTCCTAGGTCGTCTCCCAAAGACTACTAATTCCTATCAAAACTTGTCAATTTTTCGAATTAAAACAGAAATAAAAGGGGGATTTTCATATTTAAAATATTAGATG